AGTCCTTATAGAAGTGGGAGTCGAGCGACAACTTTGACGCATCGATTTTGTCGTACAGTTTCAGCAATAAGAGGATCCGTTCGCGGATGAAGTCGTAAGTGAGCGGCAGTTTGTGCGCCAATCGGCGCCCAATCGCCGCCACACCTGGAGGTCGACAGACCAGAGCTGAGGTCATACCACCGATAGAGCCATTGCTCAGCCATTGGTCGCGTTGTCTTGCGGTGATTGTCGTATAAAATCTATTGCAAACCACAGCCGTCGCCGACGAAGAGCTGATCCTCTGGTCGTCCGATCCATTGATGAGCGCGTTTGCGGTCCTATTGATGCCGTGTCTGGCAGTGGTCCACACGTTGGCCGTCCTCTGGATCAGACACACGCGCGGCACAAATCTCTTGGCCAACAGTGAGTTCATTATAGCGGTCGATGTGTTATCGCTCTTCGTTTCAATTGATCCCTATTTTAATCATGAATTGAATTGAGGGCTAAATAAACAAAATGTGATTTAGTTTTTGGTGTGATTTTTGTTTACGTTTTTATCGCCGAAAAGTAAACATCGCTTTCAATGAATGGCTTTTGAATAACGTTTAAAATTCAATCCATTTTCACATTCAGATGGCATTCACTTCGCGATTACAGTAAATACTCAATATAATGAACACGTGTTTTGTTGATGTGATATTTGTGTTATCAATACATCAAATATATTGAAATAAATGCTATTTATTATTATACTGTTTATACTGTGTTTAATCATAATTAAGGTAAACATGTCTTGTTATGGCTTTAATTGCTTGACATTATCTTCATTGAGATTATACTGTATTGATATCTAGTCTATCATTCACTCAAATAATATTAATTATTTGTGCGATTTTTGGGCCCCTTTTCACTAGTTTTGTAGGGGTTTTGCATAGAATTTAATGAATACAAGTTAGTTGTAGTAAAAATTCCCTACTTTTATAATATGTCACGTAATGTATGAGTGAATCACTTTTGACATAAAGTTTTTGTTTGTATTTTTAGTTCACTTTGAATTGATTTGTGATTTAATTGTCATTTGATTTGAGAGTGAATTGTGTTTTGAAGCAAACAATCAGTGAATGAATCGATGGATGAATTGGTGAAAGAGTTGAATGTCTTGAGGATTGACTGCAATCAAAACAAATGCCTCACCGATGATAGCGAGCGACCATTGGTGGACACCATCGAGCGGTACGCGAAGACCGTGTTGTCCATCACTTGGGATCAGGAGTTAGTGATCACTTCGGATGACTTCAAGACGAAGAACTCGGAGAAAGT